AACAGGGAAAGAGTCTAGTGGCAAAGAATGCTGTTAAAAATTTGATGGCAAAAGCATCACAAGGAACCACTGCTGCCCTCATGTTGTTGAAATTCCTGTACATCTACTTCAATTGAAAACAACAGCTGTCATCAGATCAGTGAAAGTTACACCCCGAGTGACCTCAAGAAATTGCAAAAAAAGAACTAGTTGCTATTTTTCAGATCAAACTAGGCAACCTCCTTTCAAAAAAAAAGGGTGGACATCATTTTAGATATAATGGTATGGCAAAATGGTAACTCTACCTGAGGCCATGGGGGAAGAACTCCCAGAAAAATTGGGTGGGGTGTTCAGCCCACTCCCCAAAACCCTTACCCTATTTACGACCAAAACGACTGAAAAACCATACCCTTTGGGGCTGCAAAGTGCCCTCTCGATGGTATTTTTCAGTCTCTCGAGGTTCTCAGCAGAAGCATGTCCTCTGGGGGAGATGGATTTCTGAAATAGCTGGACAAAAAATGGGTTTCATTTAACAGCGAGAAGCTAATCCGGTGGAAGAATGTTTGGTACAAGCGAAAATTTCCTCCGAATAAAAACATTTACTTTCTTTAAATGCTTGCGCATGAAATAAATGTAAAACGGGGTTGACAGGCCTACACGACTCCCCAGCGTGTGTTTAGAGTAGCCTCTTTGGGCGACCGTCCTCTTTTGAAAGATACAAGAAGCGGATTTTTGTATATTCATTCAGTAGTGGTCGTGTTTCTATTAAATGCGCGTGTCTCATGAGAATTTGCTTTAGGTTTGGCACTGATGGTTGGTATTGTGTAACAAAAGGTAATATTCGTTGGTTCGTCTTTTGTTGCTGTTGAAAAGCTAATTTCTTTTTTTTAATTCACTTCACTGTAAATTCGTTCGAGCTGTTTCACTGAGCCCCAAACACCAAATCAGCCTCTCTAATACAGAGGTTGATTTGGCCCAGTCAGGGTCGTTTTGAAAAGGTATAGCCAAAACAGCCCCATCCAAGTCCAAAATAGTCCTAATGAAACCAAAACGACCCTTTAAAAGTCAGAATAGCTCCTAAACCATATCCATTTTAATAAAGGCCAATAGTTTCGAAAGAAACTGTTTGGGGCTGCGTCGGTGGGGTAACGAAATAATTTGGATATATCAACAAAGGTGAAATGGTAAATTGGCCACCGTAACGATTACAAAAGCTGACGTTTCGAGCGTTAGCCCTTCGTCGGAGTGAAGGGCGAGTATACCTTCGTTCCGACGAAGGGCTAACGCTCGAAACGTCCGTTTTTGTAATCGTTACGTTGGCCAATTTACCATTTCAACTTTGTTGATATATCCAAATCATATCCATTTTGGCTCTACAAAAGTCCGTTTTGTACAAAGGGGCTTTAATACAGATGGTGCCATTTCCGTCCTATAAGGCCTAAAAGGACCAAGCACCCTTTAAGGCCAAAATAGTTCCCCAATCATATCCATTTTAGCTCCACAAAAGTTTGTTTTGTCCAAAGGGGTTTGGTGCCATTTCACGGCTAAAAAAAGGCTAAGTCCAGAATGAATTAAAAATATATGCACATTCTTTAAACCAAGGAGATCATGCATTATAAAGAAAGCTTAACAAAGTTGTTTCCATGGTAACATTTAACCTTTGACGGCGAGGACTTCTTGGTGTTTAGTAAAGATGAGCAAGAAATGTTGCACTATCTGCCCAACTTCAAAGAAAGGACTTGGTTTAAAAACTGGAAAAAGAAATCCATCGTCGAAGGCATCGTTCCCGAACAGGAAAAAGGTCACCAAAATGCAAAAGAGGTAAAGGTGTTCCTACATTTAATTGTGCAATAAAATCTATTTCAAGATATGAGATATATATACCATGTGAGCCTGGCGGGAGATTACTTTTTCGCGCCACTTTGCTGGCACATGCGCAAAAGTTAATTTCCAGTCCACTTTGTACAGCGTTATTCTTGGCGATTAGTTGAGTCGAGCGTTGAGAGTGTTTGAATACCAGGGTAATCTGTTCGCTTTTAACTCATTCCTATTTTCTTTGGACTTTATTGATTAATATTAAGATTTCTATTTCATGTTAGACTCAAGTGTTCTTTTTTTCTATTTATTTAGGGTCCAGCCAACGTAGAAAATCCTGCCGTGGAGAATCTCTCTTCGCCGGACTCAGATAGCGACTCGACAACTAGAAGCGCCCTTCATCAGCCGGTTATTCTAATTCGGGGACCGCTATAAACCAAGTTACCCTTCAGAGTGGAAATTGTGACCAGGTAAGTAACGGACTAATACTACATTTGGTTTAATATTTTTGCTTAGCATATGCACAGCTAATTTTATTTCGTTCTTTTAGGTAGAAGGGGGGAAAACACCAACCGACGTTACTCCAAAAAGTCGTAAGGTAAGACAGGTATTCGTTTAAAAAGGGGAAATAGTAAGCTAACAGTTCGAAAACGTTAACCATCCTTATCATACTAGCGGTCTCTGGTCCGGATCGAACACTGTTAATACATTCTTTTTTAAATAAACCGGTTCATATCATAGTTAAATAAAGCTGTTCTTAGTAAAAAAAAGGTTCTTAGTTAAGGCTTAAATTAAATACAGAATGTTTCTTCTTGTTATTGCACCTAAAGTTCTACAATTGCGGTAATTTATACAATACCATATACCTACGGCACTGCGTAAACTCATTATTTTGAATTGGGCACAATTTTAATACGCAGGTCTGAACGTTTGATCGAGGAGAATGCATGTGAGTGTGAGGCCTCGAGTCTTGTGATATTATTCTTGGCTAGGGGAGATTTGGCACTTGTAAACTAATGACTTTGAATGTTTCTGGTGATTTGTTAAAACATAGTTAATCGAGGGGAATAGTTATGAAGGCCGGCGAACTTCAAAGGCGCATGTTATTGTTATGATTTTTCACTAGTCACGTGACACTGGCCCTGCACATTCCAAATACAGTTGTTGTATAGAGAGGCGTGTGTTCGAAATATTTTAGTTTAAAACGGTGAAATTAAGCTCTAAATGTCATTCCGATCGGTTTAAAACCGTCCTAGTGCAATATGCCTGGTGAGAATTGTTCGATTCTTGGTTGTGGGACCTGTAGAAGGTCGAAAGGCCTTGGAATTTGGAAGCTTCCAAAGCCGAAGGACGAAGCGCACAAGAAAGGGCGCGACGAATGGCTACAGCAAATCACTCGAACACGAGAGATCGATCATCATTTCAAAGATCTAATAGAGAAAGATCGTGTTTACACTTGCGAAAAGCATTTCAAGCCAGAAGATATCGAGATATGTAAGTAATAACAATGAAACTTTCTATTACAAACATGTACTCGTGCAAACAGTGTGCAGGGCTTACGCGGCACTTCGGTCCTGTTGCAGTCGTAGATCTCGTGTTGATGTAGAAAATATGTCGAAACAGATTAAATATAAGTCCAATCTTTGTTTTATAGTTCCAAGTGAAAAGACGACGAAAAAGAAACCATGATTTGGAGCGATCTCGACAATAAACATGCCAAGAAAGAGCCACGAGACGCCGAAACCATCGCCAAGAGTTCCGATTACTCGTACTGAAGTCACCAATGAATGCACTCAAGGGCCTTAAACGTACTACAAAACTCTCGCCGATTTCAATAGAAGACTTCCCAATATCAAATCTTTGAATCATTGGGATAAGAGGATTCTTGAAGACAAAGTTGTACTCAAAAAGATGGATGGTCAGTACGTCTTGCCCAAGACTGAGATTATTGTGGCAGACAGTCTCAGCTTTAAAGTTAAAGTTTACGGCTGCTATTTACCCGATGATCAACCAATATACATGAAATACCGTCGCTCTGTGAGAAACATAACCATCAGCCGCTTGGTTGATGAACTTGAAGGCTATATTATTTGTTGTGGTGTAGAGCGAAATGACTCTGACTGTAGTAAGCTACTGCACCATGTTTTCCCAACATGCTCAGATTCAGGTGATTCAGACTCGGAACAATTTCCACAGAAAGGGTATTGGAGGGCTAAAGGCTGCTTGATTTATGCCAGTGATTCAGTTTGTCCTGAATGTAAAGAGCATGCTGTTCAGAAGGCAAAGCCAAGAAAAAGTGGCAATTTGAAGCCAGCTCATGCGAAAGCTCCTGTGTCTGTTATAGATCCAAGAAGAATTAAGCTCACTCCTCAAGAGCAGAGACTACGCTGCTCAGAGCTTGAACACCAGTTAGATGAGATGCGCAATGAGCTCAAAAAGTCTAGCATAAACATTGATCATGAACTGGGTAATGATTTTGCTAAACTCTTCAGTTCAGCTGACAAAGATGTTGCACCATTTATGAACCTCTTTTGGCAACAACAACAACGAATGGCTACCTCAAGTAAATATGGAGTGCGATATCACCCAATGATCATTCGCTTTTGCCTGTCTTTGGCAGCAAAGTCTCCCTCGTGCTATGAAGAGTTAAGAAACAGTGTTATCCTTACTCTTCCCAGTCAACCGCGTCTTAAGGACTACAGAAACGCTATAAAGCCACACAGGGGAATCAATGAGCAAGTCATAGAGGAACTTAAGACCATCAGCAATGCATACTTTGATGTGCAAAGATATGTTGTCTTGCTGTTTGACGAGATGAAGGTTCAAGCCAATTTAGTAATGGACAAAGTTACTGGCGAGCTCATTGGCTTTACTGATCTTGGTGATCCCAATGTAAATTTTGCTGTACTAGAGAAGGCATATGAAATTGCTTTTCACATCTTGTTATTTCTAGTATGTGGCATGTGCACTGAACTGAAGTTTGCTTTGGCACACTTCTCCACGAGAGAGGTTACTGCTGCCCAAATAATGCCAATCTTTTGGGAAGCAGTATGCATCCTAGAGACAAACTGCAATCTGTGGGGCATAGGTGCAACCTCAGATGGAGCATCACAGAATAGGAAGCTCTATAGATTACATAAACTTCTTGATGGTGGATTTGACAAGGATGTGTGCTTATCGCAGTATTAACCTATTTGCCTGTCGTCGCTATTCGTATTTCTTTGCTGATGCTCCGCACTTAATCAAGACAACAAGAAACTGTCTGCTGCATTCTCGATCAAGCACATGCACAAGGTACATGTGGAACAATGGCATGTACCTTTTATGGCAACACATTGCTCAATTGTTCTACCAGGACATTGACAGTGGTCTTAAGCTCCTTCCCAAGCCAACCTACGAGCACATCAATCTCAACTCATACTCAGTTATGAGAGTCAACCTGGCAGCACAAGTCCTAAGTGCCTCAGTGTCTGCTGTCCTAAAGTCATTTGGTCCACCAGAATCACATGGTACTGCAAAACTGTGCGAGATGGTAGATATGTTCTTTGATTGCCTGAATGTGAGGAGCTTGTCTGAACATCAACGGAAAAGGAAGCCATTTTTAGCCCCCTACTCTAGAAGTGATGACGAAAGGTATGTAAAATTTTGAACAATCAATTGAGTTATAGTGTAAAGCACAATTGAATGGCCAATCTGATATTGTTTTTTGTATTTAATCTGTTACATATTGTTTTCTTTTGTGTAATCAACATTATTTTGTACACAGTAATAATAATAGTATCAATAATTCTCTCACAGATTAAATACGCATACTCTGTCATCAGTATTATTAATAATTATTTTAACTATTGGCTAAGCTTGTTTATTATTCTATTGTAGATTCCAGTGGTTCTTGGACTTCTTAGCCTACCTGAAAAGCTGGAAAGAAAGTACTGATGCCAGACCTGGAAACTTTACAAAAAATGCTCGAGCTAGGATGTTCTTATCTCGGCAAACTTATGAAGGGTTCCAAATAACCGTCTATTCTGCGAACGAAGCCACTAAATTTCTACTTAGCAAAGGTATGGAATATGTATTGACAGAACGTTTTTGTCAGGATCCAGTTGAAGAGTATTTCGGTAATCAGCGAAATTAGGACGACGGAATGACAACCCTGATGTATACTCTTTTGGCTACCATGACAACACCATTAGAATACAAAGAACAATATCCTGTCAAAGTGGGAATACAAGAGGTAGAAAGGACAAGCGCAGAGCTTGGGTCAATGTGACCAATGATCCTCTACCTGCTAGAAAGAAACCAAATAAATCTTGAAAAAAAACTACTTGTTTTTTGTGTAGATGCCACAGTGTTTTCATTTCTTGTTTGTACAAGTAGAAAAGCTATATAGCATTTTTTGAAAGACAACACCCACAAATATTATATATTGCTGGCATTCATAGTTTCATTTTTTTATGAATCATACTATTTGCACAATAAGATTGCTTATTTGCTCTTCAAAGCACATCAACTGGTGTATTTATTTGATGGTGGTGTTTATTTCAGATGGCATCTAAGTGAGTAAATATGAAATATAGCGCTTGTTCAACACAAATACAGTTCATGGTAGACTATATTGTTGTACATAGATCTCAAGTTCAATGCTCTCTGTGCTTTTATTTAGTCAATTTATTTTTGTTTGCATAACATGTTGCAAATAAATGATACAGAAAACAACGAGTTAGCTTTAACAGTATGGTATGTTACATTCATTAAGTTCTTATATCAGACTTAATCCATACACAATAGACTCTGCTCAGTACATGGCTACCCAGGGCCTGGTAGTTCAAAGCCTGATTAGGGCTACTTCACAGTTAATTTAATGAATTGAATGTTCAAGTTGTAAAATTACAACTTGAATAAAGTTTAGTTGATGATGATTTGTAAATAAAGTATGATAAAATGCTTGCTAATCTTGTCTTTCATTATCTTGCTCTGAGTCATAACATTTTCTGCTTATATCCTTAGGTAGAGCTTTAGACTTAGTTTTCTTAACTTTGACTTTATGCTGCTCAATAATATCTTTAGCTAGTGAAAATGAACGGACACGTACATAAAGGTTGATGATGCTATACAGTACACTAATATGGGGAACAGGTTCAAGCTCAGCTTCACAAACCATAATATTATAGTGTGACAATATAGTGCTGTCAGTGACTGACTTCCAAATAATACTTGGAATCTCAATTTGCTGTAAGCCAACTACATGTGTAAATTCTCTAAAGATCATTTCAGTTTCGCAGAAAACCTTTTGTGCTGGTTGAGTAATAAACCAAAGTCCGCCACGAGTCACACTTGAAATCAGATTTTGTGAAGTGTTGATTTCAGACTTTTCAGCTTTCAAGATTGCCATAGCTTGAACACATGATGTCTCTGTCTGTAAACACAGTGTTGATCTCTTTGATTTCACTTCCCCTTGAAGATTTATTGCAGTATGCCAACAGACTGTCTGCCAACTTAATCGCCAATAATGTTGCTGCATTTCTTGACAGCCCTCTAAAGTAGTTCAAAGAGTTTACTGCCACGGTTAAGTAGTACTTTCCATAAAATTTCTCTACACTACCATTCTTAGAGTAGCCTTTAAGGAGATTCTCTATGTTTTTATACTCTGCTTCGTCTCCCATAAAACCAAATCAGTCTTTTAAAGGGGTATTTTAGCTTCTTTTTTAGAGTCTATTCAGCCCTTGAGATTGGGCCCAAAACAGCTCCTTTATGGAGAGTAAATCAGCCCTAAAAAAGGTATCATATTTTACTCACCGTTCCGGCCCCGTTTTGGGGGCTGACACAGCTCTGAATTAAGTTACATTTCAGCTCCAGTAGGGTTATTCGTGGAGCCCTTTACAGAACCAAATCAGACTTCTAATCGGGCTATTTTGGCTCCTTTTTGAGAGTCTATTCAGCCCTTAAATTTGGGTCCAAATCTGCACCTATTTAACGAGCCAAATCAGCCCTAAAAATGTACCATATTTTACTCACCGTTTCGGCCCCATTTTTGGGGCTGAAACAGCTCGAAAGAATTTACAGTGTTCTGAGAGGGTTGTGCTATTGAGGTCATCTGGGTAGCCTCTCTTTAGTAAATGCGCTTCATTTCTCTTTTTCTCCTCGAATATTGTATGAGAGGAGTTTGTTCTTAGAAGTCTAAGGGTCTCCCCTTTTATAAAGTCTTTTTTAATTCCTTGTGGGTGGCAGGAACTATAGTGTGTATACTGAAATGTCTAAGTTTGTTTAAAATGATACGCACATCAGGGATTACGTATTTTTCAAATCGTTCGCCTTTGTAGATGTACAGCTATTTTTTTGACTAAAGGCTGATAGTTCTAAAGAAACTGTTTGGGGCTGCGTCGGTGGGGGTAACGAAATAATTTGGAAATATCAACAAAGTTGAAATAGTAAATTGGCTACCGTAACGCTTACAAAAGCTGACGTTTCGAGCGTTAGCCTTTCGTCGGAGTGAATAGCGAATAGCGAAGGGCTATTCGCTCCGACGAAGGGCTAACGCTCGAAACGTCAGCTTTTGTAATCGTTACGGTGGCCAATTTACCATTTCAACTTTGTTGATATATCCAAATTATATTTTTGACTGTCTCGATCGTTAAGTTGTCTTGATTGCTTTTAGCTTGCGCGACGCGCGCTGATTCGATCGTAGTACAGTTCTTAGTGTTCAGTGTTCCAGACGTTTTGGCTTGTTTTCTTTTCTTTATTTCAGTCTTAAAACTACCGATTTCACGTTCATAGAAGCGCATGATCGCCTTTACTGTTTCTTGCTCCGCGTTCTTAACGATTTGCTTTATCCCGAACTCTTATGGGCCGAAATTCCACTGAAAAATTCTGGATCGTACTTCCTAGGAGTATTCTACCGCCCTCCTTCAAGTGACATGAACTATCTAGAAGGCCTTAAAAGGTCACTAGAAAAAGTTACAGTGGTATCCGATCACACTAATGTTGTTCTTTTGGGTGACTTTAATTTTCCGGATATTGATTGGGACTTGATATGCCCTTCTCAACCAAATGTCTTATCAGACTATTTCTGCGATAATATTGTGAACTTCTATGGTTTCTCTCAATTGATCGACGAGCCTACGCGTCAAGATGCTATCCTAGACCTTGTGATATCTAATCGTCCAGAATCACTTAAAAACATCCAAATTTTGGACGGAATTGGCTCTTCAGACCACAATGTTGTCTCTCTCAAGTTGACATGCAAAGTCACTCGTCCATATCAACGACCAAAACAAATCTTTGACTACAAAAATGCTAATTGGGATAACTTTCGTCTTGAACTATCAAATATCCCATGGGACGCTATATTGAACGACAATGACACAATGGAAGAGGTTTGGTTAAATTGGAAGTCTGCATTCTTTAAAGCCATTGAAAACAACGTTCCTTCGAAGAAAATAAAATCAAGACAAAATGTGCCCTGGATCACTTCTGATATACGCAAGCTTTTCCACAAAAGAAAACGCCTTTGGAAGAAAGCCAAATCTACCCAGCTTGAAGTTGATTGGAATAAATATAAATCGTTAAGGAATAAAGTTAAATCGGAACTTAATAAGAGTTATTACCAACATGTTCACTCATTAATTGATTCCAAAAACCCTAAACGCTTCTGGTCTTTTATAAAATCCAAAACGAAAAACAAATCAATACCTGTCACTATGAAATGGTCGGATCGTGGTGTCACGGCTTCTACTGGCAAGGACAAAGCAGAGTTATTTTGCAAATTTTTCGCGTCGGTGTTTACCCGCCCTGACCCAGCTACCGATGTCGATGAGGATGCCCATTCACATGGTTCAGGCTTCGTTATACCAGATCTCATGTGCTCTAGTGCTAATGTGGGAGAGCTTTTGCTTACCCTTGATGTGAATAAAGCCACTGGCCCGGATGGTTTGTCTGCACGTTTGCTCCGGGAGGCAGCCTCTGTAATTTCTGATCCACTGTCAAAGTTATTCAATATGTCTCTGAATAGAGGAAAACTACCTCGTGACTGGAAGTCTGCCAACATCACCCCAGTTTACAAAAATGGTGGTAAAGAATATGTTTCTAACTATCGTCCAATTTCTCTAACATCGCTTGTAGTTAAGACCCTAGAGAAGCTAGTCACAAGACATATTATGGCTCATCTAGAAGATCATGACTTGTTAAGCCCTCATCAATATGGCTTTCGAGCTGGTTTTTCCTGCACATCCCAACTTATTCGCCTATTTCACTCCTGGGCATCAGCCTTAGATAAAAACAAAACATCAGATGTCGTCTTCTTGGACTTTGAGAAAGCGTTTGACTCAGTCCCACACAAACATCTCATCTCTAAGCTTGGCCGATATGGTATCAATGGTCAGATTCTCGAGTGGCTAGGTGATTTCCTGCAAGATCGTTTCCAACGTGTTGTTCTGGAAGGTGAAAGCTCAGACTGGTCCATGGTTTACTCTGGTGTCCCTCAGGGAAGTATTGTTGGGCCAATGTTGTTCTTGTTGTATGTCAACGATATACCTGAGAACTTATCGTGTTCAAGTGAAATGTTTGCCGATGATACTCTATTGTTTAACTCAGATCATCCATCATCTGTTCATCAACCTGTGTGTGAAAGCTTGTCTCAGATCGTAGACTGGTGTAAAAAGTGGCTTTTGAAACTTAAAGCAACTAAATCCAAATGTATGAAAATCACGAGATCTAGATCTGTAACACCTTGCTCGTACAACATCAATTCAATCCCACTGGAACAGGTTAAAACACACAAACATCTTGGAGTCATTATATCATCTGACTTATCTTGGAAACCGCATGTTCTCTCTGTTGCTGCTAAAGCAAATAAGATACTTGGCCTACTAAAGCGCACATTTGGGAAAAGCTCTGAAGCAATATCAATTGGATACAAGTCTATGGTTCGGCCAATTGTTGAGTATGCCTGTCCTGTGTGGAATCCACATCAACAATATCTTTCTGATAAGCTTGAAAGAGTGCAAAGGAATGCTTCCAGGTGGATCCTTGGTAGTTCTATCGACTATAGTGAACGTTTGAAGTATCTTGGCTGGCCAACACTCGACTCGCGTCGTGAATTTCTTAGTTTAGTGCAATTATTCAAATTCATTAATGGTTTTTCAAGAGTAGACTTATATGTAATTACTTAACTTTCTCCAATAGTCGGACGAGATCTACCAACAATGTCAAAATCTGGACGCCTTATGCTCGAACAAATATCCTCAAGAACTCTTTTTGGTATAAATATATAAAAATCTGGAATGACTTGCCAAGTGACATAGTAGTTAGCTCTAGCTCTGCTAGTAAGTTTAAAAAAAAAACTGAAAGAACACATTTTTAAATAATATCAATAATATTGCACCAATATCCATTTATCAATTAACTTGTTTTTTCAATAATTTTTACCTTTACATTTTAGTTTTATTTTTATTGCATATTGCTTTTATTCTGGGGGCTGCCGTCAATGAGAATTGAGTTCCTCTCTGGCTTGACCCTTTTTGCCTTTTTGCATCTCGATGTTATTTCTATTGTTATCTGTCTGTATTATTATTATTATTATTATTATTATTATCTTATTATTTAGGCAAATGAAGTTATTATAAATAAATAAATAAATAAATAAATAAATAAAATTCCATGTGAGCTGTTTCCAGCAAGTACTTCTCATAT